TTGCTCTCTATTAGTTAAATGTATTATGTGTATCCGGCTTCTCATCAAATCAAGCAACACTTCCTCTAATTGGTTCATAAATGATGCAGTACGGTGCACATTATAATTTCATCAGTGGTAAACATTGCCTGGGCCGTCTGTAAAGAATCCACCCCTCATTAATTTCTTAATTTGGCTAGATGGAAGGAGAAGCCGACAAGAGGGACCGTGTGGGGGGGGACTGGGCAAGTTGTTTTACCCAGGCCTGTGGCGGGGTTAAAAATATAACTAAAAACAAGTGATGGAGATCCTTCTGGGCTGGTGAAGGGGTGTCAGAAAATTTTACTCAAAGCCTCTGTCAGTCTGGCCAGTCTCTGATGTCAGAGACGTTTGGGCATGTAGCACACTCACAGAGAGACCGACAGATAGACACACACGCACGCAGACACACACACACTCACAGAGAGACCGACAGATAGACACACACGCACGCAGACACACACACACACATATGCACACTCTTCCCTTTCCACACCGTTTGTAAATATTTCATAATGACAGCCCTTAAGTATTCATCCTAATTGCTTTTGCACGCCAGTCATTATCACTATTTATTTCCACAAGACAAATATTCATTAAAAACTCTGCATGCCCATCGACCGCTCCTCGTATACGGCCCAGCGTGGCAGACACCCCCGGAAGCGTGGGGGAAATTCATGGAAGCCCCTCGCTCTTTAGCCCCTGAATCCGGACGATAAAAACCCAAACAGCACAACACCAAGCTGGTGAGAGAAATCAGCAAGGGGGGAAGAGTGATCTTCCAATTTGGTGGAAGGAAAAAAAAAACTTTGTTGAGACGGATAGACTCTCGTCAAGCTGGGGTTAAGAAGGGTCAGACTGGTGTGGAGTTGGCGTAGCAGATTTCGGGGTATCAGGGAGGTGGAGCTGTGTCTTTCACTCAGGGTTGTGGGGGGGGGGGTGTTAAGGTCAAAGAACGTGGATATTACCAACCCAGTTGTAGCAGGAAGTTGACGGAATCCAAGCTGAACCATGAGAGGTCGGCTTTGGATGGGAATTTACTGGCTGGTAAGGAAGAGATGCCCACCAGTATAGGAATGAATTCTCTACAGGCTGCGTAGAGTTGGGGTTCCGACAGGGGGTGTTGCGAGACCAGGCCACCAGACACCCGACTGGACCAGAGCTATTTTTCAACAGAAGGCCCCCTAGTGGTGCTGTGCTGTATTCCTGTGACAATGGAGCCTCATGGCTCACTGGCATGGCAGGTAATACCCAGTGGGGGGGGGGGCGGGGGGTTATTCTTTCAGGGACCGCTCTCATTATCACATCGGCTGATTGCAGATTGATATTTAGCCATTATATTCAAAAACATTCCCACTCCAGGTATTCTTTTCAATTTTAATCATCGCGGCCTGTGATCTTGGAAAGACGGATATTAAAGCTGCGTTTTCTCTCTCTCGCTCTCTTTACAGAATCTAATTATAAAGAGCGGCGCAGTGCCACAGCCCTCAAACAAAAAAGGTAAAGTCTCGTCTTTGCTTCTGATTCCAGAAGCCCAAGGGCAAATCCCCCAGCACTGCTACCCACCCAGCACGTAATATCTTCACTATTAGAAAGAGCTGACACCTGCGAGTGAACTCCTATGTGCGGAATGACAGGCCTATCAGAGGCAGGCATCCAGAGGGCTTATGAGGGGGACGGTCAGGGACGGGCGGGGGGTGGAGACACACCTACCACAGCTGTGGAGAAGCTGCACCTGCGATCAAAAAAACTTTAAATACAGGTGTTCTTGGTGGGGGAGGGGCTCAGATCATAGATTAGAGGCTCGACTGGGCCATGCAAATAACTGGGAGGAACGAGCGGAAAGCTAAGTAGGTCACTTTGAGTAAGGTCTCCCAGGCAAGCAAATGTGATGTGGAGGTGATTATGGGATGGATAGAACAGCAGCTCAGTATAGCCTACACCTTCCTATCCGGGGGGGGGGGGGGGGCTGTTTCTGCAATGCGATGGCAGTAATGCAAACAGGCAGCTGATGTTACACGCCAAGGTAAAAGTTGCCTGCGACCCTGCCGGCCTCCCGTCTGCACCCTGCAATCCCAGCGACGGATCTCTGAGCCCAGGACGCTCAGAGATCACGCGCTTAATTACCAGCGTGCTTAATTGCGGCTTTCTTGCGGTTCCGCGGGGAATTAGTTCCGCCCGACAGAGCGCGCGTTCAGGAACAAACGACGCGCTGATTATTGACATCCCTCACGTCCTGCCCCGCAGCTGCACTCGGACGACCGCGACGTCCCATGGGGACTGAGGAGGTGGAGACGGTGGGGGGGAGCATGTACACAGTTAGAGGGCCATGTTAACAGCCTGATTTAAGGCTCCCATCAGATCTGCCCCCCAGCACCCGCCGCCCCACACTTAATTACCACCAACTTGTTAGGGGGGTTCCCGACCCGTTTAAATATTAACGCCTCAGGGAAACGCACCCACGCAGGGGTATGGAAGCTCGCACTTGGTTCAGACATTTCTTTCTGTGACTGTTCCTACCCTTTCTTTGCCTCTAGGGGGCTCCCCGACTCCCTACCCTACCTCAGCATTAAACACACCCAGCTAACAGCGGGTCTGTGCATCTTTAACAAAGAGCAAAAATGCACCTCAAGGGGTTAAGGGTACGATCTGGGATTCTATTCCCCTCACAAAGTGCTGCATTGAAACTGTCGTTTGTTGCTCTCCGCACTTCTCTGGAGTGATCCCTCTTGAAGCCTTACTTGAAAAACAAACTGGATGCATTAAAGTGTGAAATTCAGACTTTTAAATCTTTGAGTCCCTTCATTTCACAGTTGTAAGCAGACCGCAGCTTTAGTCGTATTAAATTGCAGTACTGCAGAAATCCAACAGGGGGCTCGTGCGTCTTTATGCAGCTTATCTGCTGCCTTTGTTCAGAACAGGTTACGATTCTACTGATTTATACAGAAGCTTATTGTGCCAGAGGGATTCAGGTTAAGTACCATGATAGCACAACATCAGGCGCCCCTCCTGGGATTTGACCTTGGCAGGTTAGTCCATCACATGGAGTTGGCACAGTCTGACATTAGCCTGGAGCTGGGTGGGGGGGAGGGAGTCCATATCTCCTGCAGAAGGTTCTTCTTTCTCCTCAGGCATCGCCCATTCCCGTTATGCTTCCGCTTGTTTTCCCAGGTCCCCCCCCCGTTCCCCCATGTCATTTTCCCATCGTCATCATTCCGTCAACTTTTACATTCAGAGGTGGGCTTTCCGCTCGTCAACGTTGCTCACACGACGCTGCCTTTCCCACGCCGGAAAACATGGCTCATCCTCTGCACCGCGCTCTCCCACCACTGACAGGAGCCCATCGTGTCGGGACGCACAGGAGAGAACTCTACTGCCATTTCACAGGTGGAGAAGGACAGGATTATTTACAGGAAGATGTGAGGCAGAGAGGGAGGAGCACCTGGCATCCATGTTACGAGATACGGGACACGGCAGTAAGGAAAACTGTCCCACTGAGAGCTTGTATCGTATATCAGGTGGGGTGAGGGGGTGGCAGGTTGCTAAGGGGACTCGGTTAGTGTAGCGTCGGGGCGGGAGTGGGAAGGCGCCGGTCACATGACCAGACGACGACAGGAAATCCCAACCCTGGGGGGGGGGGCTTTTGCTCACGGAAGCATAAATCCTCCTGGCATGGGGCACACCCGACAGAAGAGACACCCCGGTAAATGAGCCCCACATCGGGACAGAAGCACGGAAACGTTAGACCCTTGTCCGTTCGCTGGAGACGATGACGGTGACGATGACAACCGCCATGTTTGCGTGACCCTGTTCGCGCCGCACGTTGTTTGGAGAGCGGCTGCCAGGAAACTTATGTAAACATGTTTCACCTCAAGAAGCATGTATGTGTCAAATGCAGAGACTCCGCCTAAAAAACCCTCTACAGAGCCATATATATATATATATATATATATAACACAATGCTTCAAAGGGACCAGTCACGGAGTGTTTACTGGAACCAGCCATTGAGATGAGGTATGAATATCGTATACCTAGAGGAAAACATTTATTTGAATACGTGGGCATGCACACAGGCTGAGGAATCAGGGGTGGGATTTTCAGATGTTTCGCCGGACAGCGAACAAACAAGTACTAATATTGAATGAATGTTTTTTTAAAAAGAGCAGCCTTTTTCAAAAAAATAAAATGTGTATGTGATATTTGCTTTTAAGGTTGTTTTTAATCATTGTTGGAGGTTTAAAAGAGCTAACCTGCAGTTTTAGACTAATCCTAAAATGTTTCACGGGGCTCTGGAGCATAATTTGAACAGCCAGCAGACAAACTGCAGCACAAAGACCAGTTCCTGGTAATGGCTTGAACAAAAGATCAAACGAAAGCAGACGTTTGTTCAGAGATAGTGGGAATCGTTTGCACCACCGGCAGCCTTGAATAGGAACAATTAGCCCAGCATCATTTAAAGGCCCCAACCCTGTGTCCCAGCCGCTCCCATGGGACATGTAGCAGACGACAGTGGACAGGAACTTTGATTGGGGGGTGGGGGGGGACATGGGTGTTCTGTCATAGTTACACACAGACTGGACTGGAGATTCCACAGTATGGTGAGCTTCTCCCTCGATCCATATCTTTAAAGGAAAATAAGGAGGGGGAGGGCTGATCATAATTCACGACATGCACCCCGGTAATTAAAATCGGCGGCACATCTGTCAGCAGGGTCTGTCCCTCATTAGTGCAGCGCTGCATCGGGGCCAAGGACAGACCACACCACTTCCCAGTGCAGGTCGCTCCTCCCAGTCCACATACCCCCACAACTCAAAACCAGCAAAAATGTAATAAACGCAGGTGGCCCCCAAAACACACAGAATAGGTCATGTGCATTTAAGTGAATAATGTTTTTTAAATGGGGGAGGGGGATGCGTCATCCTACTGAGACAAAGGGTCACATCCTCTGCCCCCCCAACCATCCAACAGTCACTCACACAGACTTTAGCTCAAACCTTTATAAAAATAAAATCAATTTTTTAAAAAATTTATATACACACAATTGTCATGTTATGACAGATCCTGCTGATCAACGGCACTGCAGGTGAGTGCATTTAAAGCTCCCTAGAGGTCCATGCCGGCGAGCCTGACTCCGGCAGGAAGCTCCAGGCTAGCTGATCGGCGAGTCGCAGAAGGTGCAGGGACTGTGGAGAATCCTCTTTATCCAGTCGGGGTCTGAAACGGGAAGCCGGGGAAGGCAAGCTTTATGTCAGGGAAGATTTGTTCAGCGGGTTTGTCTTTTTTTGTTTATGCAGCTCCGAGTTACATGGCTGGAAGTGCATCTCTGCTGCCGTCTCACTCAAAGGTACAACAGTGATTCCAGCATCAGAGAGGACTTTGGCCAAGGTCGGCGGGTGCTTAGTGAGCACTCTAAATTATTATTAATATTAAAATCCATCGATATGCCAGAAAATGCTGGAATCTTCTATCTCAGCCCTTGGACGGTATCATCGTCATGGTAAAGCAGCACGACTGTGGACCACTGCCCAGAGCACAGGCAGCCCCGCAGGAGAGAGGACAGGTGCCCCCCCCGCCCCCAAGCCCTCGCCACCCTACCTCCCCCCTCCCCCCATGCTCCTTTATTCACTTTGGCAGTCGTTCCGTTCCAGAGAGGATTCTGGGCCATTCAAAGCAAAAACCATGCAGTAAGCACCAATGGCAATCCAGGGCGGTAAACAGCAGCGCGGTATTAGCATCAGCAGCATGGTGACGGTAAACAATGACCCCAATGCGAAGAGGGGGGGGGGAACTCACTCACCTTCAGGCAAGGGGTGTCTGGCCACGCTGTCCTGCAGGAAGCAACGTCTGTACTTCAGGGACTGACACGCCTGGTACGTTAGGGCACACCTGGAACAGAGGACGGGGCTGAGGATCACTATCCAATGGACGGGGGGTATATACAGGGGTGGGGCTCACACTAGCCCTAGCTAACAGCTGATTGGCTACCAAAGTGCCTCCTCTGTCTCTCACCGATTCAAAACATTATTGGCTAATGATAAGGCTGGCCCCTCTGCTCACCTTAAAAAGTCCTACAATTGCCCCTGCATGGGTGAGGGGTGTGGTCCCCCAAAGCCAACCCAAAAAGGTTGATTAGCACTCAAACACACCAAAAAAAAAAAACGATATAGGGCTTCAGCTGCCTGCCTGGGGATGGGGGGTGTGGAAGAGCTTAAGAGGTCAGGTTTTAAGAATTTTCACCCCCCCCCCACAAATCACTTCATTATTACATTATTATAATAGTGTGATTCAAGTAACTTCCGCAAATCACCATCCCAAGATACCCACTGGACATGGACTGTCTGTGGGTCTCTGAGGATGTCATTGATGGATGGGTGGGTGGGTGGATGGATGGATGGATGGATGGATGGATGGATGGATGGATAAGACTGCAGCTCTGTCTGCACCGAGGTATCACCTGAGCCACAGGTGCCCGTTGCTGCAAACAGCCTGCTTGCAGTGGTCAAAGGGCAGCACTTCTTTGCAGAGGCTGCAGTATTCCGGAAACGTCTGCTTGTTCATCTTCTTGAAGAGGTGACCGAGGAGGACCTGGGAGACACACGACTCCTTCACTTAACCACCCCAGGTGCAGCGAAGGTCACGACCCCCCGACACAGGAAGCCACCTCTTACCGTGACATCCCGGTCCTTGTAGGCGGGGTTGCTGTTCAGGAAGCCGCATAGGCCCCTGGTAGGGATGCTGGTGTTCTCGGTGACGTTAGTGTTCAGGTACACCTCCCCCAACACCTTCTTCATGTGCTCCCGTGTCACGTGCAGCTCCGCCTCCTCCATCTGGGCTAGGACCTCTGCCTCCATAGGTCCCTCGCTCTCCGGCTCGGGCGGCTTCGTGGCAGAGGATTCCGCAGACGCCTCTTCATCCCCAGCTGGCTCCTCATCGGCCGCGGACACCTTGTTCTCCTCGTTCGATGGCCGCCAGCGTGCCTCCGACGGGGCCTTCTGCAGCGACTGGAAAAGCACACGATACAGGAAGAGCCGGAACCGCCACAAGTAGGCACCAGTTGTCCCTCCGCCACTCAACTTGCTGTCTATCTCCTCCTGTAGCCCCACAGGGATGCGCTTGTCCCGCAGAACCTTCCAGCGTACCAGGTCCAGGAGGTCCGCTTGCCGGAAAAGGTTCTGGGTGGGAGATCCCAGCAGCTCTGTGGCCGCGGTAACTGGCGACTTGAGTGCAACTAACTGGACCTGGTGGCTGTAGCTGACTGGGTGATGCCCATTGGTCAAGCCCTCTGTGGTGGCCAAGGCCAGGTAGGCACTGTTGGGGCTAACGGCGACCCCCCGCACCCAGCAGCCTGCCACGCCCTCAGGCAGAATCAGCCGCTCCTGTCGGAAGGTTACCATCGCCCCAGCGAAGACGGGCCGGAGTTTCTGAATGACACCGTCCAGCGAACAGGTGAAGATGGCCACCTCGCGGAGCCGGCCGACGGCGAGGGAGACGATGGGTGTGGAGTGCAGGCCGACCACATGCGAGTTGTGCACATTCAGGCCAGCCTTTGTGATCTGCAGGAGGCACCAGAAGAGGTATGGGCCACGTGTGGCCAGCACCAGGCTGCAGCTGCACTTTTGCAGCGGATTCGGCACCGAGACACACTTGACGGTGCGCACAGGGATCTGGTCGACCTCCTGCCAGAGTTCCACAGGCTGCCGCAGGGTGAAGTAGCCTTTGATGGCCTTCAGGTTGACAGGCAGGATCCTGACAGGCCCCACTGAGCCGCCCACGATGAGTCCGCTCATGCGGCGTCCGCCGTGCTCGTACTCCCACCAGGCGAGCGCGCTGGGTGCCGGCACCCCCGACTGCAGGGTGTTGCAGGAGACCACCTGCTCGCGCCCTCGGAAGGGCAGCTGCAACTGCCAAACGACCAGGTCGCCGTTTTCCATCAGCACCGCCAGAAGCACCGTGCCCCCCAACCCGCCGGCCTGAGGCCCCTGCGTGCAGCACACAGCCGACCACTCCATGCACACGGGTGTCTGCATGCGGTAACGGCGTCGCATTTCTGCCAGGTCGCCCAGAGGCCCCACTGGAGGCTCGGCACCTGACAGCGCATACTCCTTTTCCCGCAACATCTGCCCATACATCTCCGTCAGATCCACTAGGGGGCTCCACTGCAGGCGTGCAGAACTGCTAAAAACAGTGAGCCGGTTGTCCAGTGTCAGTGAGGCCAGAAGGCATCGGCTATTGTTGTCGCAACCTACCGGGGACCAGCAGGAGTACTTAATGCCCTGCATCGGAGGCAAGGCCCCCTCTTTGGGATGCATCACCCGGTCCAGTACCACAGCCTGGCTCACGGTTCTGTCCTTAGAGGTGGCAAACTTCTCCTTCACTTCCGACACCTCCTTCTGTGGACCCACCTACATACAAACGGACATACGGATTCAATTCATTCACAGAAAGATCCATTAACAAGTCAGGTCAGGTCGGGCCATTAACAATTCTAATAATTAATGTTACACTTACTTTAAAAAGTCAAATATTAAGTTGGTAGTTTTAATACATATTAAACATCAAAAATACTAAAAACAATTCACTAAATGTTCTTTCCCTTCCCTAGCAGAACCCGATTTGGCTGTCAGAGATGGCCACACTGCATGGGACATTACAAATAAATACATTTATTCAAAACATCTTTAATCACGTATTGAAGAAATACATGTTTACCTTTAGCACACAGACTTGTTCCGGTACGGGAATGGCCGTCCGATGAATGATCAGATCGGGACAGTAGCTTTTAGCGTCACACACGACGTCCATCACCGAGACGCCACTGGTGCAGGACACCGAGAGTCTGTGGTCCTCGGACCAGGCAAGCGGCTCCAAGCCACTCACCGGGTTCAGAAGCTTGATGACCGGATCCCTCTTAAGGATTGGAGTAAGTCCGGAAGAGGGTTCGACATCAAGGTCTGCTTCGGTCCCAGGTTCGGGATCCGCACCATCTGCCGCGCAAACGGTGCTCAGCGTTGCCATTTTCGTGTACGGCAATGTTACCGGATGTGACGTTGATTATGGCGGCTGAAGAGCCAATCAGAGGAGGGTATGTTTAAAAAAGAGAAGGTGCGTTATTGGAGTCTGTCAGACGGGTTGTCATGTAAGGTTTTAAAAAATTTATTGTTACCGACGAGTATTTTCTGTGTAATTGATGTTACCCGTTCCTTGCACAAAAAAATCAACGCACAGCTGTACAACCGGCAGAAAAGACGCAAGAATGTATCATTTCCATGATGTTTAATCTAGTCTAAATTCTATTATGAGACTATTACGCTGTAGGCACCACGCAGCAGGTCCATTGGCTGTACGTTGTTTTTTTCCCCTCATAATAATATTATAGCCAAAAAGCGTAAGCACAGAAAAACATAATCGTTCGGTGAATTTAATGTGTTTTTAAAATAATGATGTTTTAAAATATGATACTATTTAAACGTTGCCGCTCATGATTATTAATATGAATAATTAGACTGCGTATTGCCACGCTTTTCGGCTGCCTTGAAATTTCTGCGCACTGTATGGCAAGAAAACGCGACAGTTGTCCTGCAAATGACTGAATTAAAAATGAATTAAATGTAACCTTTATTACTTGTGAATACTGTCTTAGGGAGCAAGACAGAATTTGAAATTAGACCTTAATCAGGTATTTGAAATACCGATCATGATTGTACGATCACGTTGTAAAACGTTTGCTTGGCATGTGATCTGTGAATAACAGAACGAGGAAAAACAAAATGATGAAAAGTGACTTAGCAGAGAACCGTTAATAATAATTACAATAATAATCATAATAGTAATAATAAACACACAAATACAATATATTGTGTGTCTGTATAATGCAGAGTGTATATAGGAAGACATCCATTATGTTAACGACTGGGTAACATGCTGATTTTTGGGCCCAGTTAGACAATATTGCAGGCACAATGGAGAGGCCAGAATTTAATTATCAGTTTACACCAGGGCGTGATTAGGCCAGATTGGGAATTTGGCCTGGATACCCGAATGTCTAAATGCGTCTGGATATTTAAGAGCCATGGTTACTGCAGTTTCACAGTATAGACAGCCGTTGCTACAGCAGCAACCTTAGATGTGGGTTTCACACTCAGTCGGGAGGGAAAGGAGCCCCCTACTGGCCCACCGGCACCACCTCAGAACGCAATCTGCTTTTCTTAAGACGTCTCCCATGTTAGTGCTATCCAGGCCTGGCCATGGTTTAATTTCAGCCATTTGGCAGGGAGAGCTACCAGTCGGCGCCGTTTCCACATGAACAGACGCAGATCTCCTCAGTAATAATTTATCATTCGTTTAGTTAGGGAAAATCTACTGTATGAGATATGTGTTCTGACATGATGAAATCTTGCTCAGTCGTGGTCATGCCATAGACAGAAATCCATGAGGAGTCTTGACCTGATGAGCTGTTGTTCATGTACCTTGTTCTTGAATCACGCCAGGAGCACACTAGCCATAATTTACATACGGGTCCAGAATTACGCACAGGTATGTGGGGTGAGGTGCCCTGTCAGCAGATGAGGAAAACTGGAAGCATGAGGTTGATGACTGCCCCCCCCCCTGCTAACCAGTCTGGGATCTGCCATATTGAAGTTGAGAGATCCTAGGGTACCATTTACTGAGAATGTGGGATTCCCTGGCCACGCCTTTTGCCTGCATCCCGTGTGGGGGCTCTGTCTCACCTGTTGTTTGAGCTTTGCAACTGCCAGTGAACAGTGGTGTGCTTCCCTCTCTCAATTAATGCATCTTAAAAACTGACCGATCCAGCATTTATAATATGGAGCATGGTTCCTGTCAGGGCCACACAGGGGTCTTTGGCCTGCAGGCCGCAGTGCCGATCACTCTGTCCGCCAAGTGTGAGAGACGGGCCTCCGGTTGTTTAATAGGATTGGCTGTATCAGCACAGTCTGGAGAACAGAAGAACCCTGGGGCTTCACCCCTACAGGAGACCCATACCGGATGCTTTTAACTGGCTTAACTCAGTGTTTCCCAACCCAGTCCCCGGGGACCCACAGACGGTTCACGTTTTTGCTCCCTGCCAGGCAGTGCACATTTTTGCTCCCTTCCAGTTCCTGGTAGGAGCAAAAACATGGACTGTCTGTGGGTCCCTGAGGACTGGATTTGGAAATGCTGGCTTAAATAATTTACCCGCTCCTTATAAATAGTCACAGTGTATCTGCTAAGTAAAACTAATTACCCACAGGGGCCCGATTACTGCTGTCCAAAAGGAGGAGGTGGGAGTGTTCAGGGAACGCCTCTCACGGAGAACCTTCTCTGTGATGTGGACTTCTGTCTGGTGCCAGCAGGCCGGGGAAGCAGTCATCCGTGGCACCAGTAGTTTCCGGAACTCAAAGCGGGCACGACGGCGTCTCCTGTGTTTGGCATCAGCGGAATGGTCGTTGCCAAGATAAACAAAACCGGCATATCTCTCAATGACAATCTGCTTCGATCGTCTTCTTTGTTTAAAAATCCGTCGTGTTTGATAGTAAACTGTAAAACGGGGCGTCGGGGACAGTCCTTCACGAGCTTCTTGAGGAAGTGTGACCTTTTATTTTTATGGATACTTCTCCAGTGGAAACGACGGGCCCCTCTCCTTTATGAAACGGTGTTTGTGTTCCTGCATGTAGCACATGAAAGATTAAACGTACGGCGCGTCTCCATGGGGCCGTGGCCACCGCTCTTGGACCCCATATTGCCTGTATACTCCTGGTGCTC